TTCAACAGGAGTCTTTGGAGAGCACTTCAGATTGGAACCATGATGCTTTCTAATATGTGTGCCTTTATCTTGACTTTTGCACTAAGACCCCTGACGTGAGGCTGGCTAGAAGTATTTAAAGTGGCAGTCACTACTTTGTTATAATTAAAGCTTTGTCCCAGGGTTTCATAAACTGACTTCCAGACCACTCACGTATAATCGAATCAAGCCTTTATTGAAGCACACCAGTGGCGGAACATAAAGCTGTTCCCCTGATCGGCCCCGAACAATTGCAAGGGTACTCCTTATAAGCCTAAAAACCGCAAAAGGGATGTTCAGGGGGTCTAGCCAATGCAAGCAAGCCAGGTTACAGAAGCGGGACAGTGCAGTCAAGCGGAGAAAAGCCTAACCAATCACAGTTATCCCAGTCACCCCAGTTACAGAAACAGAGCCCCATTACCCTAGTTACAGAAACAATACCCCATTAGGTAGTTCCATGTTCTTAAAGGTTTCTATAGCAAAAGGAAAAGAACATCTTGCTCCAGTCATGACTCTTCTACTTGGTATGGTTGTTTTACAGGATGATGTCATAATACAAAATGGAGTCACATTTGCTTCTACTACCACAACTTCACTACTAAATTTGATAATAGCTATAGGTTTTTGCCGATGCCATTTATCAGGTCAAGGTAGTATCCTTCTATACCTTGTTCATTTTGTATTTTATCATGAATATATATTGAATTTTATCTTTTTTATATTAATTGGGATAACTCTATGTTTGATCTTATTTAGTCTTTCATATAAGGAATACAATGATTGGTTTTTCTAGGGTGCTAGTGTTAGAGTCCTGGGTGAGTCTTTCGCTGTATGGGTAGACTTGATTTGCTACTATTTTGTTGCTTATTTCTCTACCTATGGTCATGAGGGATATTGTCTTATAGTCATTTTTTCTTATCTTTTTCTTGATTTAAAATGAAGGTAATATTTACTTCAAAAATTAGACTGGAATGTATACTACCTTCTCTTATTTTATAGACAATATTGTATAAAATTTGTATTTCTTCTTTAAATATTTGGTAGACTTACTAGCAGAGCATCATTTAGGATTTTCTGAGTCAAAGACTGTATCTCTGGGGGTGGGCAATGAGATAAAAAGGGTAGCATTTGCAAGTCTTTTGATGGATATAGGAATATTCCTATTTTCTATTTTTTAAGTACAGTTTGGTAGATTTTAACTCCCAAGGAATTTTTCAATTTTATTTAAAATGGTCAGTTTATTGACAGAGACTTGTAATTATGTCTGCTTGCAATTCTTTTTCATATCTATAGAATCTATCACGATAGACCCTTTTTAAATTTCCAGATAGCTATAAATTGTACCTTTTCTCTTTTTCTGATGCAAGTTTGGTTGGAAAATTTTCAATTTTATTTACTATTCTGAGGCATCCTAGATTTTGTCCCATTGATTTTCTTTGTTCTTCTTCTCATTGTAAATTTATTGTAAATTCTGCTCTTTACTGTGCTCCTGCTCCTGCTCCTGCTACGTTGGGTTCGGTCTGCTGCTACATTTTCAGTTTCCTGAATTTAGATGATTGATATGAAATCATTTTTTCTCTTCAATTATTAAGCATTTGATTCTATAAACCAATGCTTCAGATTCAGCATTAATATTCAAATTTCAAGATGTTACATTTTCACTAGAATAAAAAATGTGTTAAAATTTCCAATACAATTTCAGTTTTGACTCCATTGATTATTTAGAATTTTGTAGTTTAGTTTCTATATTTTAGGGGGTCCAACTTTTTTGTTATTTTTTCTGTTATTAATTTTTTCCTGGCCTAGGAAGATACTTTATAAAATTTTGATTTTTACGATGCTTTCAGGTTTGAGTAAAGTTCCAGTGTGTTTTGTATCTTGGTAAACCTCCACATGAACTTGATGAGAGGGTCTATGTGACCATGTGGGATAGATCGTTTCATAAAGGTCAATTAGCTTAAATTGTTTATTTTAAAGGAGTCCTGAAATGTAATGGTTTTCATTATATTTGCTCCATGATTTCTTGCTCAAGCATTCAGTCAGAATTCCAAATTTACCTGTTTCTCCTTTTAGTTCACAAGTTTTTACTTCGTGGATCTTGATTCCCTCTTATTATACACACTTATTCAGGATTATTATGCTTCTTGGAGAACTGACTAATACATTGCTCCAAAATGCCCCTCTCTTTCTCTAATTTGTCTTTCTCCAAATTCTAACATTTCTTAAGTATTATTTATTTAATACTAGTATAGTCATGCAAGTGTTCTTTGATTAGTACTTCGATGATATATCATTTGCTGTTATTTCCCTTTTTAAATGATTAGTGCCATCTTATAGAATTTTTACTTAAACATTTATTTTGAAATGAGTACAAATTTATAAGCAGTTGTAAGAAATAATACAGAGA